CAGTTGAGGGGGTGGCTGAGATTAGTTTGTGAAAATGATGGTGATGATGATGATGATGGCGATCTAAGTATCCTTAACTTTTTTCTTTCTATAATAAATAATACAATGATGAAGATGATCGTAGTCGCAGGGTCGACAAGAGCATAGTGAAATTTACGACAAGTCTTCACAGAAATGGTCATATCGCACAAACACACACATACATACACAATGACAGATACACACACACACAATGACAAATGCACACACACACACACACACAATGACAGATGTACACAAACACACACACAAGACAATGTCCTCACCTGCCCGATACCAGCCAAAACTTAGTTTCTTAGTGGCAGGTCTGTTAGCCAGGTAGAGAGCCACTAGACTGATCATGAAACTGGCAAAGTCTGTCAACAAATGAGCTGCGTCCGATATGATAGCCAGACTGTGGGCCAGAAGACCACCTGATAATAATAATAATGATAATAATGATGATAATAATAATAATAATAATGATAATAATAATGATAATAATAATGATAATATTAATAATAAGAAAAACCAGTTCAACCAAATAAAGAAGAACTTTCTCAACCATACATTAACTAAATACACAAAAGGACAGAAAAAAACCCCAAAAAACATATCAGCACTTACTAACATACTATAACTAAGAATTAAACAAATGAGTCTTGAGCAATCGGTTAACACTATCCGTACGCCATGTTTTACTATCGCATTCATACGATGTGGGGAATTCTGAGCCACCACTTTCCAAAGAGGAAATTTACTTGTTAATCTGATCCGTACGCTTTGCATAGAGGTCTGTAAAAATGATTTTTTTGAGAAATACTGAAAGTTTCAAAGAGATCTTCGTACTAGAAGATTGTCAAACTGGGGAAGAGGATTGCTTGGCAGGCAGAATGGAACAAACAAAATAAAGATAGTATGTTAAATTGAGTCAAAAGACGCTATTAAATGTTAGTTCGTATTTTTTTGGGGGGTAGTTTTAGTTTTGTTTTTGTTTTCTTTTAATAAAAGTGCTTTTTACGAACACTTCGAGACAATTTAGATCCTTTATAAGGCAGACATCTAACATGTCTGTCATGACCAACACGGTGATACT